TATTTATTCTTTCATTCATTTATTTATTCATTCATGTATTCATTCATTTATTTATTTATTTATGTATGTAAAACATTCTCCTGTGTGTTTACTCTAAGACTAACAGCTAATTTCAAAATCCGAAATGCTGCACAGTTTGTTGGTACTACTAAACACAAAAGTGCCAGGCAGATGATAGAATTGGGCAGGGTTGAAAAAAAAATTTTTTTTTAAAAGGAAGGAAAAAACCCTGATGAAAAGCGGTCTCTCCCTGTGGTGAGCATGAGAGCGGAAAGAACTTACGGCACTTGTGAGCGAATCTTTCCTGGAGATGAGTCGTGCCAGAGAGTAGACAAACTTGCCCGTGTTGCGGACCTGTCTCTCCTTGGCCCTCACTCTCTCAAGCAGCGAGTTGGATCTGTCGTGGCACGGAGGGGGAGGGAGAGAAAGTACCTGGTTATAGCTTCATAATATATAAGATATAATGTAAAATAAATAATTATGATATCTGTAGTTCAAACCTCCAAATATCCGTAACGAACACAAGAAAAAATGAATAAACAGAAATATAAAAAGTAACCAACCAACCACACAAACGAACGAAAAACACCACCACACCACCACCCCCAAAAACAACAACAATAACACAGACACATACACACACATACATACACACACACACATTCATACACACACACACACACACACACACACACACACACACACACACACACACACACACAAACACACACACACATGTAGCAAACAAGTCAGAAAAAAATTAACAATAAAAAAGAAAACAACAAACAATTCTCACGCTCTCTTGTACCGTGTTGGACTTGTCTTAGCGCTGTGAGATAGGAAGAGAAAGCGGTCAGAATATCATACGTACTCTTATATATACCCCTGACCAACATACCACCACCACCCCCTTTCAAGTACATTAATACCAAAGTAGTAAGAAAAGAAAAGAAAGGAAAAAGGAAATAAGAAAAGAAAAAGAAAAAAGACAATAAACAACAGAAGACAGACTAAACTCCTTAGTTCTCGTTATCCCAGGCTGAAAGTTCCCCAAGTAATGTCCCTTTGATTGTCCCAGCAGGTCTGTACAAAGGTCGTTTATCTACATAACCTTACCGTGAAGTGGAACTGATTCGGACACTAAATGACCCGCTCTGTTGTCCCTCTCTGTAGATGCTAATGACCAGTCCCCCCCCCCCCACATGCCCACCCTACCTCCCCATTGGAACCTTGGAAGAATTCTAGCTAGTAAATCCCTATGAGGTTACGGGCCACTAACTGTGTTTACAACTCCAGAGGAAGTGGACGAACCATCTCATAAAACATGTCAGGGGATTACTTCACCTTTGATGGACAGTCACACTTCGTAGGTTTTGCTCAGATGACCAGACAGATGCCTCTAGTGGCCAGAGAACTTTTAGGGTCTTCAAATGTGCACTCAGTCGACAGAAACGACTAGCTATGCCATAGGCATTTGTATAGGGTATCTATACTATTCTAGAGAACATCTATTTCTGGAAATACTTATTTAATCGGGCTCAGGTGGTGTACTTTTGTTGTCAGTACCCAATGCGGAATATTTTGTCCCAAAATTTCACCCATGATGCTCCTTGATAGCCCCCCCCCCCCTTAAGTTTGCAGTTGTAACTGTCATGTCCAGTTTTTTTTTTTAAGCCTTCAGTTTGTGAGACAGAGGCCCAACTGACAATACGTGACATATCTTTGCTAGGGGAAAGTTAAGCTCTGGCCACACTGCAAACAGAGCAGAGCAGTGAAGATTAATACAAAGACAAAGAAGTGACTGGCGGTGCGACTCGAGGTGGGTCAGACCGCCAGTCACCTCTTTATCTTTGTATTAATTTTCACTGCTCAGCTCTGCCCGCTGTGCTTGCAGTTTGACCAGAGCCTTAGAGCACATGCCACAGGCAAATGTTTTAGAAGAAAATATTTTGTATGTAAAGAAAACAATTTTGAGCAGCCTTCAGGCAAAAGATCAATGCTGAGATACACAAGAGATGGCCGTTAGGTCAACTTACCAAAGTTCTTTTTTCACTTGAATCACTTCATAGGGATATTCTACGAGGGTAACTCTCGTAAAGACACTGCTGTAACATAAGGCTTTGTACTCTTGGTTTTCTTTTCTAACGATGGACTTGTCAAGTTTGTTCCCTTAACCCCACCTACGTAGAATCACCTTAGCGTGAGCCTGTGTAACACACACCTCAGTATGTAGCTATGTATCACACACCTCAGTATGTACCTATGTAACACTTAGCTGTAACACACACCTCAGTGTGTAGCTATGTATCACTCACCTCAGTATGTACCTATGTAACACTTAGCTGTAACACACACCTCAGTATGTACCTATGTAACACTTAGCTGTAACACACACCTCAGTGTGTAGCTATGTATCACTTAGCTGTAACACTTACCTCAGTGTGTAGCTATGTATCACTCACCTCAGTATGTACCTATGTAACACTTAGCTGTAACACACACCTCAGTGTGTAGCTATGTATCACTTAGCTGTAACACTTACCTCAGTGTGTAGCTATGTATCACTCACCTCAGTATGTACCTATGTAACACTTAGCTGTAACACACACCTCAGTATGTACCTATGTAACACTTAGCTGTAACACACACCTCAGTGTGTAGCTATGTATCACTTAGCTGTAACACTTACCTCAGTGTGTAGCTATGTATCACTCACCTCAGTATGTACCTATGTAACACTTAGCTGTAACACACACCTCAGTGTGAGACTGTGCCTCTTCCCGCCGCTGTAGGATGCCGGGGCCGGGTCACTGCTCACGGACAACCTGTTATTGGGGGCGGCCGCGTCTCCTGCAGACTGGTCACTGCTCACGGACACACGCTTCCAGGCACTGACTTGACCACCACTGCTGGACTGGTCACTCCCTGCAGACAGCCGCTGCTTCCAGGCACTGGCCTGACCGCCAACCCCAGAGAGGACGTCCGGCGCTGTCTTCCTGTGGCCAGCCTGTCTGCCCTGGGTGCCTGGTAAGTCCAGCGTCATGGCAACGGATTTAAACATGGCAAAATGTCAGGAATAACGTTCACCAAACTGTGAGTTTAAACGATGATTTTAGCCAAAAATTCAAAGACGGCTTTAAGTATAATTTTCCTTCGAAGTGTATTCCATTTTTAGAGAAATAACGTTTTAGATGAATCTAGGGTCATCGCCACCGCTTTATAAGGATGTCATGTCAAAAGTCAAATTTCACACGAATTCCTGTTGCATTACCACCTCTTTTCAGCAATGATTCAACATTCACATCAATCTTCGAACTGAACATTGTTCTTTGATAAAACTCTACTGTGCAGTAGAACACGTCATATTCTTGGAGGATTGGGAAAAGTCGCAACGGTTTTAGAAGGATGAAATATTAGGGCTTGAAATAGTATGGTTCTTTCTAGATTTGAAATAAAATTCAGAGACAACCTTATGGATAATATTTCTTCGCAATTCTTCATCAAAGATATGAAATACATGTTATTTGCTAATCGAGGACAGATTAATAGTAACACCTTTAGGAGGATAAAATAGCAAATGATTGTAGTGCCAAGCGTCGGGTTTGTGGTTCACATGTGCAGGGGCTAAGTTTGTCATCAAAATGACAATGTGTGTGTGTGTGTGTGTTTGTTTGTGTGTGTGTGTGTGTGTGTGTG